GCCCGAGCTGAGGCGGGGGAGAGTGCGAGCGGCCAGGGCGAGAAAACTACTCCACCTAAAAAGTTTCACCTTGTCGTGGGCGTGGGAGGGGCGGGAGGAAACGCGACCCCCCGCGGGGCCCGGCGCGGCGCGCGGGCGGCAGGAAGGGCGGGGGCCGATTTCCCCCTCGGGGTGTTGCCAGTCCCCACCTCAGCGGTCCTTGGACCTGTGGACGAGGTGGACGGACCTCGCGCGAGACGGGCGGACACGTGCAGGGGCGGGCGGGCGAGAGCCCGAGTCAGTTCTCCTGGCCGTGCTTCCTCCTGGACGTGTCCGGGCTGCCCCGGGCCGCGCGCGCCGGTGCCCGGCTGAGTCACTGGCCGGGCAGCGCGCGGGTGGGAAGGGGCGGAGGGAGAGCGGGGCGGAGGGAGAGCGCAGCCGGAGGGCGGACTAGCGCGCGGCTGGGCCCGGCCGCAGGTGACCCGAGGCTCTCGCCGCCCGCGGCGCCCCGAGCGCTTTGTGACCAGATGCGGAGTCCAGCGGAGGGCGGGAGCCAAATGCGGGACGACAGCTGACTTACTGCGAGGAGGCAGGGAGGCGCGGCGCGCGCGGGTGGTCCCTGCGCGCTTGACTTCTCCTCCGCCGGTTCCTGGGTGCCGCAAGGTAAAAAAAAAAAAACTCCAGCCCCCTTCTGCTCTTGCACCCCCACCCCTGGCCCCGGCCGTTCTGCTCTTTGTTCCCCTGGAGACCTGACTGGTGTTCCGGAGGGCAAGATCAGGAAGGCGGGTGAGAGTTCAGCGGCTTCAGAAACTGAACGTTGTGGCCCTAGAGGCTAGGTGGAAACTAGAATGGGGCTTTTCGTTTTAGGGGGTTGCTTCTGACAGCCACCTGTGTGACTCAGGAGAGAGGGGCGCTGGGGTAGAAGATGGTGTATGACTGTTACGGCCCGCAAGTTTCAAGGCTGTGATCTGACTCAGCCTTTACAAAAGGGATCGAGTCACCCTGTCGTAGGGTGATGTGACCAGAAAGGATCGAGCAAGCAGTTTTCTAGTTCCCAGCCTTGCTTTACGTGGGGCAGCTTCCAAGGGGCAGGTGTTTCTGTGAGGGGCTGTTTTTAATTTCTGACAAATACACAGGTCTTGTGATCCATCATTTTCAATCTTTCTCTCTTTGCTGGGGCTCTGTGGAGGACATCTATCGTATTTGGTGAAATAGATTATAACCAGAGGTCAGGCAATCTGGCTAGTACTGATACTGATCCCATAATTAAACCAGAAACGAAGGTATTTTCACAGACTATTGCCAATGCAGAATTTACTCCAAAGTATGGTTTCACATTTCATACCTTTCATGTTTAAAAAGAGCCATTTACTAATTTGGCAGTTGGAGAGAGTTCCTGTGGCTCATGCATTAATAGTTGCCCAGTGTGTTTTACCTTATCACAGTTTTATATTCAAAGGAGCCCTGAAGCAGAATGAAATATTGTCAACTCTCTTAGGCAAAATAATCAGGATCCTTTAATTGCCAAGTTAAGACGGTCGATGAATATGAGAGGGTTGTAAAAATTGACGTTGGAGAGAATATAGACTATCTGGACCCTCTCCTGAATTTTAAGAACAGTGTTCACATTTTGTAGAGTTGGGTGGAGACTTATTCTGTCATTTCCATCAACCAGACACATGCATATTGCCATGCAAATGGATTCAGAGACATTATTTTCCTTTACAGCTAAACTATTATAGCTGACTAATGAATTTTTTCTGCATGAGGATGCTCTGAAAATGATGTACATCATATTTCTGTGTGCTTCTAGGATATAAATTGTGCTTTTATGTAAACTGTAAGTGGTACTTGGATTATTTACAGGTACATAGCTTTTCTTTCTAGGTTTAAGTTTATTGGGCTTTGTTTTAACATGTAAACTTCCATAATGGAACAGAAAATGAGGGACTTTGGTTCCAGTTGTAGACTGCAAGTCTGTGATGGATTCAGTGTTAACTCTTTCTGAACTGCTGAATAATACAAGTAAGATTTATGTCACTTATAAGAAATTTTTTAGTGCCAAACCTGTGGCTAATTCCCTGTAAAATTTACTGGTGGTTTGTAAATTCTGTTCAGGGTTTCAAACTTTACGGTGCATAAGCCTATAGTTATTAACCTAAATATATTTTTATTTTTAACATGATGTAATTTATAGCATTTAGAGGATTATCTGCTGACTACTGCTTTTGCAAAGATTGCCGTGTTCTTAATACATCACAGTAGAAGTTTACATTAAACATACTCTGTGTCCCTTCAGAATTAGTGGATGAGGTTTTTCTGAATGATAAAGATGTATTAAATTAAACCACAGCCAGTCAGTATGAAAGTTCATAAGTAGTATTTTCATAACTTTTAAGCCTACAGTAGAAGAAAAATGATGCTTTTGTAAGCAGGGGAAAACCCCTTATAAATTCCTGTTAAGACTACAATGTACTATAATCTTGAAATTTTAAATTTGTTTAAAGGAGGATTAGACTAAGAAATGCATTTCAAAAATCAATTTCCTTAACTGTTGGTAAAAAGAAAAAGTCCAAAATAGCTTTAGTCTAATTTGCCTTTTGCACATCTCTGTAATAGCCTCAAGAAACTTTTTCTCAAATGTGGTCCCCTCACAGCAAGGTGAATAATCAAAAGGGGGCTAACATTCTCTCAGGACACACACCTTTCTCTGACTGTACGGATACCCTTGGTGACACATTCATGATGACAGTTCCCTGCAAATTGAGAGCATCTCCCATCTCTCTGCCACCTTCCTCCTCATCTGTCCCCTTTGGTTTGGTTGGAGCTACTTTCAAGTCTTCTGTGCTTCCATATCTAGTGATTTCATGGTTTCTTCTTTACTGTCATTAGGTTCACCAGAATCATCCATGCTTTCCTTTCCCTGTCATCCCCAGTATTTCTCTTGAGCTACTAATGTTTGTTCATGGAAAACCAAATTTCCTAATTGTGCCACCTTAAAGGGAGAAAATATGCAGACTCAAGTGCCAGGGAATTAATCTCCTTTACCTCACTGGTGTGTGTTGAAACTGGTGTCTTTGACACTTAGCCCTCAGGGCAGAGTTTCTCCATGGGCTTTGCTCAGTGCAAAATAGTCACTTCTTAGTAATAAATGATGAATATACTGACTAATGTCAATTCAGGATCATTTTGATTCCCTGTTCTTAACAGAGTTGCTGCCAGGCCCACATTTGCCTTAGCAAAAAATAGCTAAGAACTGTAACTTAAACATCATATGTGTTTGGTACTAGAGGAACATTTTTTAAAAGGAAGAAATGAAATATCTGCCCTTGAAAAATTAGATATTCAGAAAAATCAATCACATGCAAAATGGAGTCAAGGTCCATAATTGTTAGGGGGGGATCTCATAAGCGAATGACAACCTTAGGGAAAAAAAATATATTATTTAATAGCAGAGATCAGCCTACTTGCCATGAAGTAAGATAATTTTTTTTAAATCATAAGATTGGAACTTAAAAATTTGAAGCTGCTTCTGAGTGTATCATCTTTCTGATACTACAACACCATTACAAAATCAGCATGATTGATACCAATATCTTAACCTCCTCATATTACAGACAAGGCAACTGTGCATGAGCCTAGCCCACAAGCTACTTTCGTGGCACCACACAGCCTCTGCCCAGTCGTCAAGGAAGGTTTACTATCTGAATCATTTTCCAATGAGGCGTATGTTGGGGTTCTTCAGTTAGTAATAAATGATGACTATAACATTTCTAGTCTCTGGAGTTTTTCTCATCTTCTTTTTTTCCAGTTCTCTTTTTCCTTTCTCATTCTTTTTGTAGTAAACCATATCAAGAAAGACCTCCATTCATATGTGTGGGGCATTCTCCTATTATCAGATTAGACCTGTGAGTAATTTTGTAATCTACACTTCTATCAGAAACCCCATTCTCAGATATCTTTTCAGCTGTGTTTAACAGTTTAGTATATTCCCCCTGGGATTTGCTTCAATAAAAACATCCAGTAAAATCTGACCACTTTGTTTTTCAAGGGACAAAATGAAGAATGTGTTTTTATAAGCTATAAAATGTAATTGAGAGAAAAATCACACGTGTGGCATTTGTAACAGGAGGTGTGAGCATAGTGAAATAAAAAGACAACAGTGAACCAGCCAATCACATACCCAGCTATACATATTTCTTTGTGACTGTGTAAATTTGTGCAAGTATGTTTATACAGGTTACTCCTGTTGTTTTATATTTCTATAATAAAATCTGTAGCTATAAGGCAATTAGAAATTATATAAAAATTTATGAGCCATATAGGTTATATAATGGTCCATATGATTTGAAAAGTATTCTTTCTAATATAACAAAGGACTATTATGAAATTTGGCCTGAGCAATTATGAAATATGGCCAAAGAATCACAGGTTCTAGTGAAAGCCAGTTCCTTGTACTCTTAAGAATGTGTTTGAGGGTTTAGGCATTCAGGATAAATTGTTATGCACCTACCAGGCATAATTCTAGACTCTGGCAGTGCAGCAAAGAATAAAACAGACAAAAGTCTCTGACTTCGTGTTGCTCTGTTTTATACTGAAGAAGGCAAATTAAATAAAATACAGAAATAAAATGTATGTGAGGTGGTGATGAGAGATATAAGGAAGCATAAAGTAGAGAGAGTAGTACGATAGGAAGGAATGGACTGGTGACTGAAAAATTCAGTAGTGGGTCAGAGAACGCCTTAATTCAAAGGTGACCTTTGAGCTAGAACCTAAAGGAAATGAAAGAATGAAGCATCTGGGTATCTGGAGCAGGACCTCTCCTTTGCATTCCATGAGAGTGTCATTCTCATTTTTTTTCTCTCTGAAATTATGCAGTGCACAGCTGTACATGGACTCCTTGGTCATTTATGGGAAGTACTGGGACAGTGCCTGCCATACTTCCGTACAGCCTCAAAGGTGAGGTTGAAGGAGAGACCCATATCCCTTGGTTTGAGGACTATGAAAGAAGAGAACCATGATATTTTCTTGCATTTATTCCCACACCTCATCCTTGATCTGGGATATTGCTCCATTCAGACAATTTTCCTTCTTATTTTCTACACTGTGAGCCTGGCCTAATGGAATTTGATGAGAGTAATACTCAACAGCCTTTGTCACAGATCTCTTTCATAATATAAATCTGGAGACAGCAAAGGAGGCAGTTGCTGATGACTTACAACTTCTGTCTGCTATGTACTTCTTTTCTTGCCTTCTCTCTGTCCTTCCTTTTCCGTTTCCAGTGTTAAATCAGTGTGTTGAATTTTCTTCTTTTCTTCTTCCCCACTTGTGTTTTGTCTATATCCTGTATAAAGATTTGTAAACAGGTAACCTAAATGAGTAAAACTAACCCTTTTACAGTCCTAGCAAAGCAATGCACAAAATTCTCCAAGCTAGGCTTCAACAGTATGTGAACCATGAACTTCCAGATGTTCAAGCTGGACTTAGAAAAGGCAGAGGAACCAGAGATCAAATTGCCAACATCCGTTGGATCATAGAAAAAGCAAGAGAGTTCCAGAAAACCATCTACTTCTGCTTTATTGACTACGCTAAAGCCTTTGACTCTGTGGATCACATCAAACTGTGGAAAATCCTTCAAGAGATGGGAAATTCTTCAGACGACCTGACCTGCCTCCTGAGAAATCTGTATGCGGGTTAAGAAGCAACAGTTAGAACTGGACACGGAACAATAGACTGGTTCCAAATAAGGAAAGGAGTATGTCAAGGCTGTATATTGTCACCCTGCTTATTTAACTTATATGCAGAGTACATCATGAGAAATGCTGGGCTGGATGAAGCACAAGCTGGAATCAAGATTGCCAGGAGAAATATCAATAACCTCAGAAATGCAGATGACACCACCCTTATGGCAGAAAGCAAAGAAGAACTAAAGAGCCTCTTAATGAAAGTGAAAGAGGAGAGTGAAAAAGTTGGCTTAAAACTCAACATTCAGAAAACTAACTAAGATCATGGCATCTGTTCCTATCACTTCATGGCAGATAGATGGGGAAACAGTGAGAGACGATTTTTGGGGTCTCCAAAATCACTGCAGATGGCGACTGCAGCCATGAAATTGAAATACACTTGCTCCTTGGAAGAAAAGTTATGACCAACCTAGACAGCATATTAAAAAAGAGAGTCATTACTTTGCCAACAGAGGTCTGTCTAGTCAAAGCTATGGTTTTTCCAGTAGTCATGTATGGATGTGAGAGTTGGACTATAAAGAAAACTGAGCACTGAAGAATTGATGCTTTTGAACTGTGGTGTTGGAGAAGATTCTTGAGAGTCCCTTGGACTGCAAGAAGATCCAACCAGTCCATCCTAAAGGAAATCAGTCCTGAATATTCACTGGAAGAATTGATGCTGAAGCTGAAACTCCAATACTTTGGCCACCTGATGCAAAGAAGTGACTCATTTGAAAAGACCCAGATGCTGGGAAAGATTGAAGGCAGGAGGAGAAGGGGGCGACAGAGGGTGAGATGGTTGGATGGCATCACCAACTCAGTGGACATGAGTTTGAGTAAACTCTGGGAGTTGGTGACAGACAGGGAGGCCTGACGTGCTGCGGTCTATGGGGTCTCAGTCGGAGATGACTGAGCGACTGAACTAATCTGAAGAGGGGCAGCCACTCTGCTCGGCATCATCAGAGTTGCTGTGAGGCTCAGTGAGTGGCATGGAACCATGTGGTGTCTTTCAGAATTTTTAAACCTAGAAATCTCTCAATTTTAAAATGTTGACTCAATATCTTTAAAATTGTGCAAGCTAGAGAGCCAAAGTGTCTGCAAGCCAGCTTTAACTACTGGTGGTCTCGCTTGTCATCCTGGCCACAGCTCTGCCTGCCAAGTGGTCCCATGTCTTAACTTCAGATACTGTTTAATTCAGCAGCATGCGTGGCCAAAGAACCCCAGACCGCTCTGTAAAGTACTTTATCTTTAGAGGTCTCAGGCGTGGTACCTCACTGGAAAATTGGCTTAGCAATTTTAAAAAGAGATATTCTTTAATTCATCATATTTATTGGCACATACTTATTTCCCTAAACTCATCAACCCACATACTATCAAACTGTGTATATTCTAAACTAAAGAGTAGTACAGTTATTTCATTCTTAAACTACAGCAATATTTTTTTGAAATCTAAATTCATTATAAATTTATGTGTATATTTCACATTTTATTTCCATGTTCTCATTCAGAATAAACTCTCTGTTTGGAATACTGGTGCTTTCTTTGTTCTGTTTTTTACGATCTGTCTGAACTTCACCAGTTGTTATTCCTCTACTACTGAAATTCAAAACGTGCACTGTGCTGCTTTTGAATGCCTTTTAAAAGCCCTCAGACCAGTGTTGCAACCTATTTTTTCCAAAGGAATAAAAGCTCATAGGTTGTGCACTAACTTGTTTCCTTTAATCCTAAAAACTCAGTGAAATACCCAGGCTAGCGGCCTTCCGGAAGGCCATTGTGTTAGAACGGAAGATTATGTACTGTATTTCTTCCTACTATTTTAAATGCAAATATAATAATATATCATGAAGCTGTGCACATATTAAGATCAGTGGCCTTTTCCTGTTTTGAAATGATCTCTTGTTCCTTGATAGTTAGAATTCTGAATCTAGCACCTAGAGTCTTGGGTCCAGATTTAAAGTGGTATGTAAAAAAAAGAATTGACTTGGAGGAATTAAAATGTACTTCAATTGTTCAATAAGATTATGGGATTTTTCTGGTTTTTAATACTTTCTTGAAAATATCAAGAACATTCAGAGCTAGAGATTTGAAATAATGTGTCTTTACAAATCAGAGAGAGGTGGAGTAAATTTGCTTAGTAGAAGGCAGGTTGTCTCCTTTGAGGCCTAACCATGTGGGAAAGTAAAACCTAGCCAAGTTTTAGGTCCGTAAGATAACTCAGACTATCTTTAAAAATAAATTTTGGCTTTTCTCAGGAGTAAAGTATGTTTAAACCAACATTTTGGCTCTTAAAATTTAAACCTAGGGGTCTTTTAAAGGAAATTTAATCCTTGTGTTTTTGATTCACTAAATCCTAAATCATTACCCATAAACTGTATGTCTCTCTAAGCTCTTTGATGTCTAAGAAATCTTTGAAATAATGTAAGCCCCATTTTGTTCCAGAAAAATAGGAAGTTGGTTTTTGTTAAGGGTCAGTAAACAGCATCTTCAAAAAATCTGACTTAGGTCTAAAATCCTGCAACCATGACAAAATGGATGTTTGAATGAGTACTAATGCATTTTTCTGATGCAATGTGGAAAATGTAAGTGCTTTTAAAGACCTTGCTTACTATTGGTATTCCATTGTAATCCTTACTAACCCCAAGGAAATTATTTTGGAACAACTCCTCTTTTTTTATTGTAATATAAAGTCCAAATGTTTATCATTTTATCCTGGCATATAGTAGATGCTCAGTAAATATTTTGTTAAATATTAAGTGAATGAATTCTACCCAGAACCTTCCAGCTAATGTCAATCTTTTTATTCAATATCAATATCCATCTGTCATATCTTGGAATGAGATCTATTCTGAGTCAGTGACCTGATTCAACAAATTTTTAAAATAAACCATTTAACTAAATATATGACACTTACTGAAATTCATTCTGTACCATGAAGAAACAGCCTTACAAAGAGTGCTGAAAATAGGAAGGAATTTCTAGGCTAATTTGATTAAATATTCAGTTGTTAACATATTCTTTCTAAAAATTGATTTTTTTCCCCTTTTACTGTTCCTGCCATCCTTCCATCCGCCTTGACATGCTTACTGATTGAAAGTTTTGCACAGCAAAGGGCAGGTCATTTGTATCTGTAAGCAAGAGCAGCAAGTTCAAACAGGCTTGGAAAACATAGCTATAATCATAAATTGCCATAATATAAGAGGGGAGAGAGGGGTACTCCACAATAATAGTAGTGTTTAGTTTTGCTACAAATTGCATAGATGTCACGTCTTTGAACTCTATTGTGTGGGGGAAAATACCTTCTTACTGTAGTTAGATTTCTTAATGTAGTTAAGATTTCCTGTTTTATGAGTGTGTATTTTCTGGTAACTAGACTTCCCATATAGACTTGGAATAAACATGTAGCTTTAAGTGCAATTGAAATGCACATGATTAGAGTATTGAAGGCTATGGAGACAGTAATTTCTCTTTGAAAGAAAAAAAGTGGTATTTAGATGAAGGCATAGAACTGAATCATGGTCATTGACATTCTTCTTGATACCATGTTGTGAATTTCTAACAGCTCATCTCATTTTGTCCCCAGAAAAGCTTTCCTGGTCAAAAGTGTGTTGTTTCTGTATGACATTGGGGTGCCAGAATTTGATTTATTGGTTTTTGTTTATTTTTTTTAACATATCTTGGTGGGGACAAAAAGGAAATCTGTGCTACTATGGTCTTGAAATGGAGGCTTCTTTAGGTTAATCTGAAAGTTTGCTGACTACATATATTATCATTAAACTTGTTTTGAAATTTGTTTGAATTCGTTATTTGTAGATAACAGTGTATAAGGAATAACTTATTTGTATAGTTTTGACATTCTTAATTTCTATTTCAATGGTTGACCAAACCATCAGTAATAATTATATATTCATGTGTTTGTATACATTCTCACTTAGGGGATTTTTTAAACTCTAAAGGTCTCACAGCCTGGTAAATGCGTAGTCAAATGCTTCTGTATTTGTTCATTTGGAAAATGTGACTCAATTTAAGACATTTTTGCAATAACTCTCATGCTGCGAGTATAGGAAATAGATAATGAAAGAGAAGACCTGCAGGTTTTGCCAGGGCATTGGGTCAGCAAGGTTAAAGGAAGGGAGAGGTGGGTGGATACGCTTAAGGGTCATGGATTTGGGTGCATTGCAAGTCATGGAGTGTCCCATTAGGAGTCAGGCTGCCACCTTCTGAATAGGAAAAAAGTTGGTCAAAACTGTGTTTGGGATCAAGGGAAGCTCACAGGAAAATGATAGGCATATGATAAGCAAAGTCGAAACTTCCTCCAATTCTGTCATGTGTGGTTTGATTCTCGGAGAAACGATAAACTATCATCTAGCCATTTCTAAATCAAGCCTCTTAGTCTATCCTACTCTTAGCTACCAGTAGGAATAACAGGAATGTGTAGCAGAAGAAGAAAGAACTTTGATTCTGCATGTCAGAGGCATGTTCTATGCACTCTCTTAGCTACTCAAGAACACTAAATGAAATTGAGTTCTCAGAACAAATTATAGAGTATTAAAAGAAAAACCAAACTTACAAATGTTTTACACCATTTTTACTAAAATTTTCTAGTGTATCAGGGTATTGTAATGCATCCATTACTGTTAGAACCAAAAGTTATGGTCCTTAGAACTGTGGTGGTTGGTGGTTTAGTCACTAAGTCATGTCTAACTCTTGCAGCCCCATGTACTATAGCCTGCCAAGCTCCTCTGTCCACGGGATTCTCCAGGCAAGAATACTGGAGTGGGTTGCCATTTCATTCTCCAGGGGATCTTCCAACCCAGAAATCAAACCCAGGTCTCCTGCATTTCAGGAAAATTCTTTACCCACTGAGCTATGAGGGAAGCGTATCAAGGTATTGTAATGCATCTATTACTGTTAGAATCAAGAGTTATAGCCCTTAAAACCATATCCATAGTTATTTTTCAATTTGGGATATCATTTGCAATGGACATATATTAGCTTTTCTTGCAAATATTATTTTGAGACCACTTCTTTGGGTTTCAATTGCACAGAATTCATGCTGGAATATGTGTAAGAATTGTACTTCTCATGTTCTAGATTTCATTGTCTAAGAGTTGAGGAAAGCTTCCCTCGGGGGCTGTCTTCACTTTCTGTCTTTATGCTCCTCTGGGAGTCTTAGTTGAGTAACTGTCATTTGACTCTGGCTTCACATTCAGGCAGAATCCCTCCAACACTATCCAAAGTGAGCCTGTGACCTGACTACTACCTAGTTAAGATAGACAGCAGACAGAGAGAATCATTTAGAGCCTATATGAAACTCTGGACCTAAAATATTACCCTAGCTAGTTTTTTAATTGAGTGTAAAAGTGTACAATAAATATTTTAGATTCTGTCACTTTATATATATATAAAGAAGCAGCGAAAGCAGAAGTTGTTGACAGAAGGAAATGTTCTCCTAACAGATATGAAAGTGCATTTTGGACTTTTTAAAGTTCACTCTTAGTTCAGTTGGTAAAGAATCCGCTTACAATGCAGGAGACCCTGGTTGGATTCCTGGGTTGGGGAGATGTGCTGGAGAAGGGATGGGCTACCCACTCCAATGATTGGGCTTCCCTGGTGGCTCACCTGGTAAAGAATCCGCATGCAATGCGGGCGATCTGGGTTTGATCCCTGGGTTGGGAAGATCCCCTGGATAAGGGAACGGTTACCTACTTCATTATTCTAGCCTGGAGAATTCCATGAACTGTATAGTCCATGGGGTCGCAAAGAATTGGACACAACTGAGTGACTTTCACTAGTGGTTACAAGCTTCCATTATTCCCTCAAGTTCTTGAATCTCTTTGGCTCCCCTTCTCAGTGTAGTATCTTCACTTATAATTTAAAGAGTAAACAGAATCCTAAATGGTTTCCGTGTCACTCATTATTACCTCCTTGCTTCTGTGTGAGATGATGAAATGGTCTTTTCAACTTATGGTCTTGATCTCGTTCTTCCCCACATCTTTGAGCACATTGCTCCATCTGTCCCACCTTCCCTACCAACCCCTCTCATCTTTAAAGCCTCTATCATCATTTTTCACTCAGCCCTTACTCAACTTGCTTCTTCTAGGAAGAAAGAAAACACATATGTCACACACCTGATAAGATCCTTAATATACAGTTACCTAAAGTATTCATTCCTATTTCTACCTTATCCTTTAAAGAATTTTTGAAAATCTCTAACTCATTTTTTTCTACTGCCATTCATTTTTTAACTGATTCAACTCAAGCATTCTGTTCCCCACACTCAAGAAAGTATCCTCTAAACACTGGAAACCTCATTGCCAAATCTGACAGATAGTTCTTTTATACCACTTGACCCTTCTATGAGATCTGATACTATACATCTTGCTTTTCCTTTCTTGAAATTTCTCTTCAGGCTTCTGAAATGCCACTCAAACCTTTTTTTTTTTTTTTGGCCTTTAGATATAAAGTTTATATTCTGGTCCTCTTCAGGGTTTCGTCTGAATCCCTCCTTTCTCTTACTGAATGTGTCCACAGGTGATATCACTTACCTCCATGACTTCAAATACACTCATGGGTCATTTCTGACTCCCTCTTTTCTCCTGACCACTATGCCCTTGTTGTTAACCACCTTAAAGACACTGCCACTTGAATAACAAACAGATAACCTCAGTTATTAACTGAAGTATTATTTTTGCTCCAAAACTCTTCTCTACCTATTTTCCTTACCTTTGATTATTACATACAAGAGAGACATTGTATAGTCATCTTTGACTTCTCAGTCTCCTTTCTGGTCAAAATCCATGTTGAATCACTGTCACATAAATTTCTAATTTAGTCCTTTCTTTCTATCCTATCCATATTGCCAGGGTTTTTGTTTAGGATCATTCTTTTCATTTATTAATTTATTCCATTATCTATTCTTCAACAGATTCTTATAAAGTGCCATGAATGACACTATCTGCTGTGCTAAGTTGCTTCAGTTATGTCCAGCTCTTTGCGAAGCTGTGGACTGTAGCCCACCAGGCTGCTCTGTCCATGGGGGTTCTCCTGGCAAGAATACTGGAGTGGGTTGCTATGCCCTCCTCCAGGGGATCTTCCCAACCCAGGAATCGAACCTGTGTCTCTAAAGTCTCATGCATTGGCAGGTAGGCTCTTTACCACTGGTGCTACTTGGGAAGCCCAGTGGCACTATGCCAAGGGCTAAAGATGGAGCTTGTAGCCTGGCGGGAGTTATGAATAAGTAAATTACAATACAACATTATAAAGTCTAGATAAGGGAAAGGCAGGATTGATGTAGTAGCACTTGGGAGAGTTCCTAATCCCATCCTAAAGGGCAAGAGAGGCATTGGCGAAGTCTTCCTAAAAGTGTCTCCTAAGATGAGACTTGAAGAGACAGAGTTAACCAGTTGAAAGTGAGGACAGAGGTGTTCCCTAAAGAGAGATCTACATGCTGAAACCCAGAGTAGGAGAGCACATGGCTTGCTTCAACAATTCATACAAAGACAGGATGGCTGGAGCCTGGATTTCTAGGGAGGTGATGGCAAGTGTCAAGGTGGGAGAATTAGGCAGAAACCACATCATGCATTTCTTTTAAGCTGTGCTAAGGAGTTGATCTATTTTTAAACATAAAAAATGATATAATCAGGCCATCTTTTTAGAAAGATATCTGTTTCATTGGGGAATGGATGATCAAGGATAAGAAGGGAGAAGGAAGATCAAGTAGTAAATACAAGCAAGAAGTGATACTGCCCTGGGAATAGATACAGGTGGATAGATACGGGTATTTAAAATGCCTGAAGGGAGGAGTTAGGCATGATGGGAATGTGGGAATGGAGATAGGATATGGAGCGGCAGAACAAGTATCATGGGAGTAGATGGAGGTGCCAGAAGGTCTATCCAACTGCTCCTTTTTAGTCACCCCTTTTCACCAACCTGTTGGCGCTGGTGTGCCCCAGCACACAGTTCTCTCTCCATTCCCTACACACCTTCCCTTGGTGGTCTCATTCATGTCACGGTTTTTCATACCATTAATATGCAGACAGGTTTCTAATTTAAGTCTCTAGTCCAGATCTTTCTCCTTAACTCCAGGGCTCAAATATCCAAGTGCAAACTCAGTATCTCATTCTGGGTGCCTAAGAAGTTTCTCAAGCATGAACAAAACTAAACTTCCCATCTTCACACAGCCGTGCCAGACCCGCCCCACCCTCCTGCTCAGTGTCGTGGCGGGCAGAGTCACTCCCCCTTTACCAAAGCCAAAACCTCTTAGCTTGTTCTTGACTCCTTGTTCCCTCACACACCTCATCTCCAAATCCATCTGCAAATCCTTTTAGCTCTGCGTTCAAAATATAATCAGGATTCAGTCACCTCTCATCATTCCTTTCTCTTGGCCTAGGCGACCGCCATCACTCACCTGGACATTACAGCAGCTTCCCGATCCCTAACGGCTTCATGTCTCCATTTTAGCACTACCCCACCCCCTGCCACCGGAAACATCTCACACCTAGTCAAAGTGATTCCGTTAAAATCTAATCACTTCCTGGTTCACCACTCTGCGATGGCTGCACATTTCACTCCAATAAAAGCTCAAGACTACAAGGTCCTGCTTGCTCTGATTCTTTGTCTTTTCTGACACAATCTCCTAGTCACTGAGGTACAGGCTTACTGGCCCCTGTGCTGTGCATTCTTCATCCTCCAACGCTGTTTTGGGGGGTTTTTTTTGCTAGTAACATTCATCAGCTTCTTTTATTCACATTCTGAAACTGCTTTATTTGTTGAGAACACTTAACAAACAATATGAATACTTTTCACATGGAGCCCTGCATTTTTTCTCAATACTTATTCATCAGTTTCTAATATACTACATGACTGATTTAACTGCTTTATGTATTTGTTGTCTGGAACCACCTGCCACAAAGTACATTCCACGACAGCCGGCATGTTTGTTTTGTTTACTGATATACCCCGACACATCTTGCATATATTAGGCTCTCATTTAATATTTGTCAAATTTAGTCTTAAATAGCTATTGAACAGGACTTCTGTGGTGGCTCGGTGGTAAGGAATCCACCAGCCAATGCAGGAGACACGGGTTCGATCCCTGATCCAGAAAGATCCCACATGTCTCAGAGCAACTAAGCTTGTGAGCCACAACTATTGAGACTGTACTCTAGAGCCCAAGAAATGCAGCTACTGAGCCCGCGTGCCCTAGAACCCATGCTCTGCAACAAGAGAAGCCACTGCGACTAGGAGCCCATGCATCACAACTAGAGAAAAATTCCACACAGCAATGAGGACACAGCCAATAAATAAATAAGTACTTTCTAAAAAGTAGCTGCAAACATACAAAGCTTATGCTTGAGAGATGGACTTCTGGACTCTCTGGACATAAAGAGATGAGGATACAGATCTAGGAGTCTTTGCTTTATTGGAAGTCTTCATCCTCTATTGCCTGGGAAGATGCAGTGACCTTCTGTTATGTCTTCTGGCCTCTAGCACCTCTCCCCTCCAATCCATTCACCACACTGTCACCAAAGTTGTCTAATCACAGTTATAAGTAGGCTGGTTTCCATGTCCTGATAAAAATTTCTGAGGAACTCTCCACTACTAAAAGAGGGCAGACTCCTCAGCAGGATGTGTAAGACTTTCTGTGATGTGCCCCGCCTAACCTTCCAACTTCAACCACACCTAGCCCAGCCCACACAGCTTCTGTGCCAGTTACAGCATCCTAAACAGCCCTGCACATTCTCCCCACTGCATCTGCATAGCTGTCTCTGTCCAGAGTATCTGTCTCCTGCCTTGACTGTCCCTTCGCAACTCCAGCTTATCCGATATAGTAATAACTTCACTCTGAAATACTCTGTGGCCCCTTCCTTTACCGTGGTTTACCTTCCCTATATTTCTCCAGAGATGTGCATCCATCTGGAATGCACAGCCCAGAGGGCAGTGTGTGGGACAGGAGGCTAGGACTGCCAAGCAGTGGGCAGCACCTGTATGGTTAGCAAGTTTTTTGATATCTTGACCTCTTCTCTGTTTCTCTCCCTCAAACACACATACGCTGCTCTGAATTATTTTCCCTTGATCAGTTATATAAATGCAATCCTGAACACACTTGTTTTTAAGTTGTCCTAACCTTTTGGTTTATTGATTTTTCAAAGATGCAGAGTGTTTACTGAGGTTCAGATATTGGATTCTGTTCTTACTTTTCTGTTCTATTTTTACGAGGATTGCTTTGTTTGGCATTCTTTATTTAAAAGTTTAAGATTTCTGTGGAAGGTTTTATTTGGATCTTTTATTCTCTGATTATTGATCTCAGTGTAGTGATATTTACACGCTGTTTTCTCTCAACACAGAATTGCATTATTTTTACCAAGGAATCCACATTTATACAAAATGTGGCCAGTTTTGTTATTTCTTCCATTCACATTATTTTCATGTTTTCTAAAAGCTTTTCTATACTTTGCCTGAGAAGAAAATGTTATATACTGACAAAATTCACCTTGAAAAGTGTCCCTGGTTCACTTCAGTGCCAGAGAGTCTACTTGGTAACTTTGATTTCCAGAAAAGTTGTCATCTGTGAGCAAAATAAAATTCAGACTTACCCTAAGAACTAAGTGCAAATAGTGGTAAAGGAGAGCACCCCCCTCGCTTGACCACTCCATATTTCAAGGTCACAGCCTGGCCTTTGGCATTCTTATGTGTCTCCTCTTCTGTCTTACCCTGGGTGCTGCTCTCTATGTGACAGTGGCCATGACATAAATAGGCCCACTTACCACCAGCATTCCTCTGCAGGCATTTGATTTCTGCTCTAGGTAACACCGGAAGAGATTAATCAGTTATATAAACTCACTCCTGAGCACAGCTCTCCCCATTTGGAATTCACTGTGTCTTATACTGAGAGCATTTTCAACCACTGAGGGAGGGAAATGTCTGATTCATTAATGAGTAATGTACCGGCTTCCTCTCCGTGTCTCCCTTCAGTGGTTCACATGCAGACCGGTCTTTCAGTCAGGTTCTTCCTAATCAAATCCTGTAGTTGAGTGCAACCAGAGAAGATTGCTAGGCTTTTTTTTTTTTTAAATTTAATTCGTTTACTTAGATGTTTCTCAAATGTGACCTGTGGGTTTGAGTTATTCAGGATTTCTGGATTAATTGAACAAAATCTGATAGCCCTTCTGCACAATCTGAACTATAAAATTGCATCTTTCCATTAGGCCGAAAAATATTTTTAAATAGTTTTATGGGATTTCAAGAATCTTAGCACTTCAGTATTGAAAGTTTAATCTTCACATTTTCAAGGGCAGTGAAACATTCTTACCTGACCTACAGCTTATTAATGGGACAAAGGCTGTCCGTCAATCAAGATGCTGACAGTTCAATGTATTTTCTGAACAGGGCTTTTTAACAATATGCACAATGATAAAACAAATGTCCATTTATTCTTAATTCCCAGAAGTTGAATACTTTCAGCCATTCCTAAAAGGACAAAGATATTTACTAACAGAGTAAGACTGTGTGAAGAATAATCTTGAGAATATAATGGAATTCAGTTCTTTTTATCTTTACTAGTATCATATCAGAGTTGACAATGATCTCAATCATATGTTACAGCTGGAAAATGGAGGTTGGCTTTTTCTTGTGCAATGATTCAGCCATTTTCAACTTTTAAAATGTTTATTGGAAGAAGGGATACAGTATTAGATAAAAATCTGAGTAAGAGCATTGTTTGGGTCACTTTCAAAGAAACATTTGTGTAATAATCAAGAGTAATTGTTTAGAGCAGCCACCAAAATAATATTTATAACACATTAAAATCATTTTGTGCCATGTTTATTTTCTCCTACAGAAACCTATATATGAATTTTAATAAGCTTTTTATTATAAATATGCTAATAAACATAGGAATTATTTTTCTGTTTCAGAAATCTCATGTCAGTGACAGGTTGCCATATAGACTGTAATAAGCACACAAATCTTTTCCTTGATTTTTAGGGGAAAAAAAAGCCTTTACTTTTACATGGTTATATCTTCACAGGATATTTAAAACCACCTGTTATGAACAGGTTACCTTGATAATCACTTCAGAAACAGCATATTTTAGACACACAGCATCAAAACAGCAACAACAACCCCCCCCAAAAAGTATGCACTTTTGCAACATATGTGTGCTATAAAAACCTAAAAAGTACTGTTCTGCTGCAACAGATAGATAGGTTTGGCCAAAATAGTTTCAATCTAAGTTCTGTTAATAAAAAACAGTAATTATTCCCTTATTTTTCTGTTTGCTTACAACTCATACTGTCATGTAGTATACATTCATGGGACATAATTATACTAAAATTTTATTCATTGTTTAATATGAAATTCAATTTAACTAAACATTCTGTATACTCATTTGCTAAGCCTCAGTGGTGATGTGGATTTACTTTTCTTTAAAGAGGTAAAGCAAGAGTTCCTTCCTGGAGAAGGAAATGGCAACCCACTCCAGTATTCTTGCCTGGAGAATTCCATGGACAGAAGAACCTGGGGTTCAGTCCATGGGGTCGCAAAGAGTCAGACACAACTGAGTGACTAGCACACATACACACACACACCAGTTCCTTGTTTGTTGTTCTGTGTTAGTGTGGAAGGCCCTTACAGTGGCCTTTGTCTTAGAGTACAATTTAAGAAGGACTTCAGGAACTTGAAATAACTTAAGAGGAAAACTGCAAGATGGCCAAGGGTGGAAAAATAAGAAATAACACTATTTAAACTGTGGATGAGAGGGCTAAGGTGATGAAACAGTCGGCAAGTATTTGGAGTGGGCTCACCCAGTGGACTATGCCAAGTTCCTCATTTTTGATGAGGGTAGGGAGAAACTGGCTAAGACACAACTTAGGAAGATGAGCATAAAAGCAGCATTTATTGAATGCCAAATTCCAGTGTCTCCTAATTTATCTTTAACCCTCCTGTCCAACCCATGGATGTGTACCCTTATTATTCCCATGTTTTAGATGAAGAAACTGACACTCGGGGTCAGAAGGTATGTAAATGGTAAAGCCCAGATTCACATCACATTGAAGTGTGATGACCCCGAAGCCCGTACTGTCTCCACTACACACGCCCTCTTCTCCAGAAGGCTTATGAGTTATTGGGAACAATGCTGTCAAGCAAAATAATCTGTAAATATTAGACATAAAATTAAATCATGTGTATTTTGACTCATTTAAATGTGGTCATATAAAAGAGTAGTCATGTGGGGAAAAATCATGAAGACTCCTTAGGTCTCTTTGGCTTACTGTTAGAAATCATCGTCAAGGTAGTGTCTGGCTACATTGGAAAGGATTTTTGACGTGTATTATTTTATCTTTCTGAAGTCAGCTAGGTTTATTGATGATAATAACACTTAAGTGTTAAAACTTTAGACCTAAGAATTAAATGTTACATTAGGCATATTTTAAAATTTGCTATTTCAACAAGCCAGTAGATCTGTCACTTTT